AATACAAAAACTTGTAAATTTTGCATCATAATCCCTTTTTAAAATCATATTCTTGAGTTCATTTTACATGAAGAAATTAGACTGATTCACTTAGTGTCCTCCTTAAGTCAACACTTCTTGTTACCCCCCCCCCCCCCCTCTTTCTCTTGCAGTTCATGCAGGGGTTTAGGGTTTGGTTCATTTACTTCCCTTGAAGTTCATTACCAGCGAAGACATCGAAGATCTACATTAGCTTTACTCACCTCATAGGGATATCTTCTTTATTCTTCTTACTGTATGGAAAGCTTTACTGACAATGGCTTTGAGGAAGACAGGGCTAAACTAATGTAGAAGAATTTTGAAAAGCCCTCACAGGAGAGCTTTGTCACAATACTGGCTGCATTCCTACTGCTGTTCCTCTAGTCCAGGCAGGAAACCTGCTGGTCAGGCTGGCTTCAGTTCTCACAGTAAACCACGCTGAGTCCATTTACCAGGGAATGGTGATTTTCTCTGACTTGACTCTTTCCACCACAATCTTTTAATCTTTAAGTATGCAGACTTAGTTCAAAGCTGCTGTATCTTGGAAGAGGAAGGGAACAAAAAGCACCTTAGAAGAAGCAAATTGTCTGCCACCTCCTGTTTAAAAAGGATTTGTGCTGTGCTGCTGTCAGCATGGAAGCGATGCTTATAGTGATCCCCTTCCTAATAGGAAAGCAACAAAGCCATAGGACCTTCAAACACACATTAATTTACAGCCTGAACTCTCGCCTGGTTTTTAGACTAGTGTATAATATAGGTTAGGCCTGAAAAAAAGAAAAAAACATTATCAATACAAGTCTTGAAAATACTTCACTTGGGAAATTTCACATGAAAATGCTGATACAGTCTAAATACAGAATTAGACTTACTGCTGCTGGCTATACAGAACTTAAAAGTTCTTAAGAGTCTGAAAAACTACTGTGAGAGTCACACAGGTATATAAAAACTCCTCTAGTGGTTTCCTTATCTGCTTATCTATCTTTCATGAAAAAAACAAGCCCTAGATTAAACCAGCAAGTAAACAGAGCTGGCATTTACCATTACCTACTAGAAAAAAGGGTAGAAATGGTATTTAATAACAGCTTTCAAGAAGTTGCTCAAAACAATCAGAATGCAAAAAGTATAGACCAAATTTAAAACTTGTCTTTTTATCTATTAGGACTGAAAATCATTCTGTAAACCTTATGTTAAGTACATTAGCCTTTCTGGAATCAACATGAGGTCTTGTGCAAGACCAGCCCCTAGAGCCCCACTACCAAGGCTCTGGCTTTCTTGGAGCAGATTAGAAATTCAGGGCTTGCCCAAAAAGCCAAGGAGAGAAGGCTGCCTCTCCACTACTGATGAGAAGGCCTTCACATCTCCTCCATTTGAGGTCTCCTGCATTGGTCCCAGCTCTTGAGGAGCTGCAGCAGAAAGTTGCTCAGTGGGGCACTGCTGGGGACTGTGCTGGTCCCAGAGAGCAAGGCAGGAGTCTTCAGGATGCTCTAGCTTCACCTCACTGCAAGGAGAGTACAGGACAGAGCAAAGATCACAGTTCGTGTTTGCCGAGGCAGGGTGAAGTAGTTAGTGCTAGTGTTGTGCCAAGACCAGATAAATGCAATATTTAATGAGACCCTTCCCCCCCATCCCATTCAGCAGCATGAATTAAGATCTAATATAGTAGTCTTCTTTGAGACACTTCAAGTCAAGCCTGCTGCTTGCTGTTGTTCACTCGCAGCATGCTTTAGTGGAAGAATGGGGAAAAAAAAAGAGCAGTAGTGTAACAAAAAAATATGTAGTGCCTTTATTGAATTTAAAAATGGACTTTTCTTCAAAGTCTCTTTACATAACACACATGAAAACTTTAGCATCAGTTGTATAAATATATCAAAAGGAACAAATATTTTTTTAAAAAACACTATTTTGGCTCAGTAAAATAAGTTTTCTATCCCTAAAGGCAGGGATAACAAGTAGCAGTTTTTCATTCAATCTATTCTGGTCAGCAAAAATAATTCAGGAGACCTGAGGTTGCTGGAACTCTGTTGGCTGGCCTGCATACTGCAAGCTGTCAAGGTGGAAGCGCAAGGTCAGTATTGTACCCTGGTCCTCAGAGTACAACTACCATACTTCCAGTGTCTAGTCTTCACATTTGATATAGGTATCTTCTTACAGAAGAGTTCTTCTTATGGATTGAACCCTATGGCTTCTGTCCCACCAAATCTTTCTGTCAATGTGAACTGTAACAATTGTCCTTGCTTGGATGTCAGTAACTTCAGAGAGACCTCAAGGCTCTTTTACCCTACAATGGGCTGTCACCAAACACACATTATATTTAAAAGCAGACTATGTGCAACAGCTAAGTTAATGTGGCACTTAATGATCAGAACTGTTCCTCTCGACACTTCTGTCTTGACTAAAACACAGAACGAGAACAGAATGTAAGCATGTGCATTAGTCTATACATACATGGCACTCATCAATAAAACACTCCACTACCATGACAGTTTGAAATAGTCTGATGTTTCAAATGCACTTTTCCCCCTCCTATCCTAAACTGAAGAGATTTGTATTCCATTCTGGCCAGATACACACTCAACTCAAAGCTCAGACAGCACTGTCTCTCAGAAGCCAAGTTTCAAATTTGCAGCACACTCTGAGGTAACCAAAGCATGTCAGGTGGAAGAGGAACCTATTTCCACTGGTTTTGTCACTTATCAGGCAGAACACAAGTGTCACACTATCACACGTTCACTGGGAAGTTCTTCCATGGGATGGTACCTCACACTATCAGTTTCATTTCATAGAATCAATCATAGAATCACAATGTTGTGAGTTGGAAGGGACAAAGATCATCGAGTCCAACTCCTGTCCTTGCACAGGACAATCCCAAGATTCAGACCATGTGTCTGAGGGTGTTTTTTGGTGGAGGATGGAGACGTAAGATAAATGCTTGAGTCACTGAAGAAGAAAGCCAACAGTGCAATGTCAAAATGAGTAGACAGATTCTGAAGGATGCAGAACATCCATTTTTTCAGATGATAAAGTAGAGATATCAAAGGACCAATTTAAAGGGAAAATTTCTGCCTAACACTGGATTAGCAACAGTCTTCAAGGACAGCTTGGAAAATTATGGAGTTTGACACACTAAGTTGCTTGTTCCAAGATAAGGGAGCTGCACAGCAAAAGATAGGCTGGAATTTGAATGGGAGGAGAGCTAAAGGTGCTGCAAGACAGAAGCTGATAAACGCTGATAGGAATTCAGAGTTGCAAGCAGCAGTTAAAGGCATTAACAGTCAAATCCTGAAGCTTCCATACACAAATAGATCTCATAACTTAAAAAACAAAAGTAACTTTAAAGCACAGACTGAAAAGCACTGAGTTTGCCTCTCACATCTCCCGCTTTTATAAAATTCATAGCTATAAACTTTGCATTAAATAGATTTGATAATTTCTTAAAATTAATCAAATCAATTCCCTCCCCTGAAAAAAGAATTTATCATTACAAACTACATTACTGCCTACACATAAGTCAAACATAACTTCAGTGTAAACCAAATTGTGGTATACATAACAATGCCTAAAGAAAAAAAAAAAAAAAAAAAAAAAAAAAAGAAGAGAGAGAGAGAGAAAGGATTCAACATTCACAGTAAATTTTTAAAACTTCCTTTCCCAAACAGCTGTATGGAAACTGCAACTCCAGCCTCAATTCATCCATCCCTGACCAAATTTAGTACACAGTCTCCTCAGACTCCTTACGTGATCAGGGGAGAGGGAAAGGAGGATATCAAGCAGCTACAGGGGCTAACATAGGGCATCTCTCTCTCTCCTTTTAAGGAGCAGTGAGCAACAATGCTATTTTAGCTCTATTTTCTAAATGTACCTAGAGCCAAAAAGCATGGCCTCACCACCCTTCTTCTCCCATTGTACTCTGAACCCTCAGTGAACCAGGTAAACTCACTAATCCGTGAGAAAATCATCCCAAGGGAAATAACAGTTTCTGTCACATTAGCCCGTTCAGCCGGGTTCAGCTTTCAGAGCTGGCAAACACTAGAGCCAGCGCCCTGGCTGGGAACAGGGGGGAGACCCGCTCTCCTTCAGCAACAGCAGCCCAAGAGAAGCAGGTGCCCTGAAGTCCCCTGATCTGGTCTTTAGAGTGAGGGGGATGAAGTCAACCATCCTGTAGTCTCCATGAAGGAGGCCATGTCATTAGCTAATTGATCCACTTGGGTAATAAGAACAAATGCATTAAGCCACTTAACTGGAAAAAAAAAAATCCTCTGGAGATTAATTTTTTTTGACTCAGTAGAGCATTACAAAGGTATTTTTACAATGTCTGCGTGGGACAAGTGACTAAAAATGGTACAATTCTTTAAAATGTAAAAGAGATCAGGGAAGAGTATTTATGCTTTGTCAGGTTCAATAGCACTTTTGGGGGGCTGGGATTGTCTCTTACCTTTTCTTTTGGATGATAACAGACTGATGTAGTAACAGAGGTATTTATCTTTCACCAAACTGAACAAGGCAAATAAACTTGTGACAAATAAAACTTTTGTGTCACTTCATTAAAAAATTGAAATAAAAACATTTACTGGCATCAACCATGCCCATTACATAGTATCACAATTGTAATTAATATAGTTCCCTTCATATTCAACCTTTAATTGCAAAAAACAAGTTTTCTGGTTTTTTTGATAGGGTTTTTTTTCCCCTTCCATTTTTAATACCAAAAGAATTCCACCAAATCCCAGTGCAATTCTTGGGAAAGGCCTCATGTACTTCCTACACGGTTTCCATGTCGTCACTGTGCTACTGACAACATCACAAGGTGTTCTCTTGATCTGCCCAGAAGAAAGGATGATTCACATCTGTAGACAAACTTGTAGTACCTTCAATACAGAAAATTTGGATGAGATCATCTGCACAAAACAGAGGTGACCTTCAGTCAATCCATCACCGACTATGTCAACTGAATTAGTCAATAAATGTCATTTTTCTGTTGTTATTTAGGGAGAATTCAAGTCTCTCGGTAACAAATGCAATCCTGATGAAGATGCACTTTTTCTGGATGGCATGTGGTAGCGCACTTTCTTCCAGAATCTGGTACTTGCTGAGTGATACCTTTCTGAGAAGTCTCCTTTCCATCGAATAGCCCCGTGTTTTTGCTTAATATATTTGATGGCTTCTGGCATGTCCGCATAATCTTGTATTTTTTCCAGTTCAATGAGAATTACTTTAATGCCATCTTGGATAAGAGCATTATACATGGCTAGCTGCTTTTCAGACACGTCTAGGACACTGTAACAGGAGGGTTCTGGTACTAAAACAACTATCACTCTTCTACTTTGACGGATTTTTTCATCAGCAATGCTGATCACAGCTGTAGAGAAAAAGGTTGTGCAAAATTAAGGCTGTATGTTTCTACTTTTTGTTACCAACATGTTGCAGCCGATTCATTCACTGTTTAGTATTTGAGCCAACACACTTTGCCTCACAAACAAGGACAGAATAAGAGCGTGCACACAGTTAGAGTGGGTTACAATCTGACCCCATCAGACTGCATGTCTATATTCTTGTTTTGCATAAACAGGGAAGAGCTACCAACTATCTACTGCTTATCTCACTAATGACTCTTTATTACTATCATAAGTGCAACTGCAAAAAACCATGTTCCAAAACCATAGGCCTAGATAAAACTATGACCTTTTTCCTTAAACATCCTGTTCCGATACGCTTAACTGGGTTTTGCTTTCTCTTCCAGTTACATGTAACAAAGAATCCTCCCTTCAGTGGCATTCCAGACAATTAATTCTAAAACAGCAAAACATGGTAAATACAGCACAAAACCCACACAGGGTAACCCTGAGAACAGACTATTGCATTTTTTCAAGCTGGAAAAATAAAGCAGCACTTTAGAATCAACTTCTCAGGGAACCTTTCCTTCTCAAACCACCACCAAAATCCTTTAGATGTAAAAATGTGATCCACAAACCACCTCAGTAGGTTTGTTCATACCCATTATTTTTTTTTTTTTAAACAAAAACTTCTATTTAAGGCATACTCTGCAAATTTATCCAGTCTTCATATTATCTTTTTGAAGTCTTATGACCAAGAAGGATTCAGAAGACTTTCATTATTTCACTTTCCATAAGCAGTCAGTGGGACAGACTTTGCAATTTTCAGTGTCAGATGTTAGAAGTTTAAATGTGATGTGCCTATGAACACAGGGGAAGCTTCCACAAGTGTTTTAAAGCCTTGCAAGGAAGGGAATGCTTTGTAAGAACTTTCACTAGGGACAAGCAGTCTGTGGTACAGTTGATCATTCTCGATAACTTAGTGTTGCTTTGTGTTTTTTTCCCCACCTGCACTGCCCAAGCATTCATTATACCCTTTGTTGCATCCCATTAGTTTGACAGCAATTCTCAGAGCAAATAAAAATGACACAGTAGGGATGTCAAAGCAATGGGCTCTTTTCATACCACTCACAAGACATACTTTTCCATGATTCCTGCCATTAGTCATCACTCACAGCCACAATTTCAACTCCTCTTACCCTCAGCATCCTTCCATCTCCAGATGTCCAGGCTAGCCAGACACTGGAAAAACCCAGAAGAGCTCAATAATGACAAGGGAAAGGATGAGATAAATAGACTTCATGGGAGCACCCAGTGCTGTATTTCTCATTCTCCATCAGAGAGGATAAGAAAATCATAGCTCATTCGATGGTGGGAGATACGTAGTCACATCTGATTGATTGCCTGTTTCTGAGTTGTATTTATAGCTGCCAGTGAGAAAGCTCAAGTGTAATTTGTCTTCAGACAGCTTACCTTCTCCTGGTAAATCATCCCTCCCAAATATGAAGAGGTTATATCCACACTGTCTTTCTAAGACCTCTGGCAGTATCTTCAGAGCAAAAATATCTGATGAATACAAGCAGCTCTCTCTGTTCTTTGGATATAGAACGTAAGCATCATAGATCTTTTCATCTGAAACTAAAGAATGAGAAAAAGGGGTAATACAAAAATCACAGAATGGTTTGGGTTGGAAG